GGCTGAGAAACTGATCCAGATTAAAGGAGACTGAAGACACATGACAAGTAATGCAGTTTGTGATTGTAGGCTGAATCCTGTAGAGGCGGCTCAAAAAAAAGCCACAAAGGACATTACTCAATAAATTGTCAAAAGTGAGATATGAATGGGAGATTAGTTAAAAGATTTATGCCAATGTTAAATTTACTGCAGGGGATAACCTGCTGTATGTAAGAATATACTTTTTCTCAAGAAACACACAACAAAATATTCAAGGAGAAAGTGCATGATGCACAGAATGTATTCTCAAATATTTAGGAATGCATGCATACGTTTCATATATGTGTGTATGTTCATATAGAGAGAGAAAGGGGATAGAGGGAGGGAAGGAGACAAAAACAGATGAAGACAGAGGAGAGACATCGAAAATGGGTCAGGGGCCGGCCCCGTGGCCAAGTGGTTAAGTCCTCATGCTCCACTGCAGCGGCCCAGGGTTTCGCTGGTTCAGATCCTGGGCACGGACCTGGCCCCACTCATCAGGCCATGCTGAGGTGGCATCCCACATAGCAGAACCAGAAGGACCTACAACTAGAATACACAACTACGTACTGGGGGGATTTGGGGAGAAGAAGAAAAAAAAAAGATTGGCAACAGATGTTAGCTCAGGTGCCAATCTTTGCAAAAAAAAAGAAAAATGGGTCAAAATATTAACAGGTGAATCTGGATAAAGAGTATATGATTGTTTGCCATCTATGCAACTTTTCCACAAGTTTATTTTCAAATAAATACATTTTAAAAATGAGCCATTGACTGTTGTCCTGAATTTTACCTAACCTTTGAGATTCGTGGCTTTGACTCCAGCAGCTGCCACCACCAGCATACCTAGACCCCAGAAGTGTGCAATGGTGACTTTAAAACAGTTAACTCAGGTTCTGTCTCAGGCAAGAAACCCAGGATCCTCTTTGCATATTTGAAGCGTGCTAACATTTCAACAGAGTTACAAAATACAGGAAAGAGCACCCCCCCCCCCAAAAAAAAAGATTTTTAAAAATTATACACAATACAAAAAAACAAGAACAAAAAATTCAACGTGTACAGCATGGAACCCTTAATTTCTTTCCTATTTGGTCACCAGGTCTTCGGTCTTCTGGCATTTTGAGATGTGAGTTGGTTTGCTGGCATTTCGTCTGCTCCGCTAGTCTGCTAGTTACCACACCCCCACTGGATTTCCACCTTCCAAAAATGTGTTGACATCTTTTGTCCTGTCCTCTCCTTGTCATCCTCAAGTGCTTATTCTTTTTGTGTCCTTGCCTTGTTTTAACAGCTTTATTGAAATATAGTTCACATGCCTTACAATTCACCTGTTTAAAGTGTATAATTCCATGGTTTTTAGTATATTCACAGACATGTGTAACCATCACTACAGTCAGTTTGAAAACATTTTCATGGCTTCAAAAACAAACCTTGTGACCTTTAGCCGCCATCTCTCCCTCCCCTCATCCCCCCAGCCCTAAGCAACCACTAATCTACTTTCCATCTCTCTAGATTTCCATATTCTGGACATTTCATACGAATGGAATAGTATGTGGCTGTGACTGGCCTCTTCGCATGGTTCATCCATGTTGTAACATGTATCAGTACTTTTATTGCCAAAAAATACTACGTTGTCTGGATATAACACATTTTATTTGCCCAGTCATCGGTTGATGGATGTTTAGGTTGTTTCCATTATTTGACTGTTATGAATAGTACTACTGTGAACATTTGTGTACAAGTTTTTGTGTGCCCACGTTTTCATTTCTCTTGAGTATGTACCTAGAAGTGAAATTTCTAGGTCATATGGTAACTGTGTGTTTAACTTTTGAGGAACCGTCAGATTGTTTTCCAAAACACCTGCACCATTTTTCATTCCCACCAGCAGTGTATGAGGGTTCCCATTTCTCCACATTCTCACCAACACTCATTATTATCTGACTTTTTTATTCTAGCCATCCTGTTTGTGAAGTGCTATCTCTTAGTGGTTTTGATTTGCATTTCCCTGATGACTATTAATGTTGAGCATCTTTCCATCTAATCTTTTTAACAGTGTTTGGGAAGGAGAGGAGTTAAGTGTTTGAGTTACTTTGTTTAACTCAAAACACAATAGCTCATTGTAAATGTATGACAGGAAAAATTTTATTCTGAATATTTGAAAACACATAGTGATGTCAAGTCCTTATCACATGTACAGCTTTCTCCTTCTGTACTCTCTGCATGCTGTAGTCACTGTGTTATTAAGGGACTGCAACACTGTGCACTGCATTTGCTCAGGAAGATTCCTTTCTGTGTGGGGTTGAGGGAAGAGTTCACTCGGGTGACTCCTCAGGCTTCACTGCAGGGCCGAGCAGAACTGATGGCCAAAGCCTCTAAAGCTCAGTGCTTTTGGTCCCCACCCACGGCTGTGTCCATCTGTTGTGGGTCAGTGTGCCCCACAGGAGTAACTGTCAAAAAATTTTGAGAACTGTGACACAGGCACAAAGCATACGTCTGAGAGACAGATGGCAGGATGTTCTGATGGGCTTTTGCCCTTTAACCATAGTGTAGGAGACGGGCCGTATCACACGTGCCAGATGACAACTCTGAGAGCGGGGTGAGGGGTACATGGGAAGATACACTGCTCTCATGCACGTTTAAACATTTCTGTAATGGAAAGCTTAAAACAGTGAAAGTTGGGTGCCTCATAAGGAGATGGAGGGGACGAGAGGATCCCTGGCAAGGGGGCTCAGTCTGTGAAGACGAGGGTTTAGCTCTCGCAATAAGGACATTTCAGGAAGTGTAATTCCATTGAGGTTAGGAAGGAAACCTCTTTTCATATACCAGGAAAGAAGGAAAGGAGGAATGGGAAAGGGTTTTTGTGAAGGTGTTTTGACGGAAAGTTCCTATCTCACGGCTTCTAGCTCCTCTGTGAATGGTGGTCCAGTACATCTACTGAGCAAGTGGAGATGGCCTGAGTTTGAGGAAAGTGAAGGAGATTTGAAATAAAGTAGAGAGGCAGCAGAGAGAATGGACTAAGGAAACAGTGACCTAAGCCCCATTTGTAATGGACCTTTTTAAATGTTGGTTACCTGACAGACCATCAAATTTACCTTGGAGAGGGAGGAGATGAAGACAGGAGCTAGGTGGATAGATGAAGGGTAAGTGGGAAGATGAATGGCCTAGAGTTAAAAATTACTAAGGGGCCTGTACACCAGAAGGATCAGGGATGAGGGCAAAGGGTGGAATGTCAAACTGTGTTAATCCAGATGTCAGAAGTGTTCCTGGTGATAAGCCCTGGAGTGTGGCAGTAGCTGTCCTGGAATGGAAGTAAAGGACCCAAAGATGAGATGATGTAGGATCTGAGGGGTCGGACTATTGGCTGGTCCATCCACATGGATGTTCGAGCCCTCCACGGCCTCCTCACCTCTTCAGTTCTCTGCCTTGGGCCCTGTCCCACCTTTTGTCCCTCCTAGGACCTCCACAGAATCTGCATTATTTTTTGACCCTAAGCTTCAGACATTGGAGGGTCAATGGCATAACTCTGGACAAGAAAATACAAGTGTGGAGTGAGCGAGGGCTGTGGTGGACACCGGTTTTGTTTTGTTTTTTCTTTTAAGACCTAGCATTCACAAGTCTTTCTGGAAGAACTACCTCAAGTGCCCTCTAGGGCACTCAACCCATGTTTGAGTCCCAGTCTATACAAGTGGAGTTGCCTTCCCTCCAGGCCCTATGGTAAGGGTGGGTATGTGTGCAGTCCATGGTGAGTCCCCCAAACATCTGTAACCTGGTGCATAGTCTGGGACTCGCCTCTGGTTCATGAGCTGCAGGTGTTCTTGGGGAGACCAACCATGGCTCCACCAAGGCCATGAATATCAAAGGAGGCACCTCCATCCTGAACGTGAACTTTATACAGTAAGGGCAAGATCTTGTGTATTTCCATCAAGCATGGATGGAAGAAAGGCACCAAGATCACCTTCCCCAGGAAGGGGATGTCATGCCTGATGACCTCCCTGCAGATATTGTTTTAGTGCTCAAAGAGCAGCCCCATGCCTTTTCAGAATAAGGCATCAGTGTGCTGTGCAGTGCTCTGATAAGCTTCAAGGAAGTGGTGCCTGGATCAGATTGAGGAAGGGGCAAGGGGAACAGGACAGGGTCACAATATGGATGATGAGGCATAAACCTTTGTTCCACCAGCAAGGTCATTCCTTCCCCTCTTCAGTTTTTCTTACCTTCCCACTCCCTCTAAGGCATCTTTTCCTTACTCTTGGCTTTATTTTACCCTGGGAGGTAGGTGGCTGCCTGGTCAACATTACTGCCACTGACAGCCAAGTGATGCTTTTGCTCTGCAACAAAATGTCATCAATCAGCAATCTGAAGAAATACCCAGGGAGGGGAACCACTTCCCCCAGCTGTCTTTCCAGTAAGGAAACTTCAGTGTAAAGTCTAAAGTATGCTTCCCCAACACATTAAGATAACCCACGTGACAGATTCTTAAGCAGCATCTGTGCTGTTCCTAGCCCCTCCCCCACCAGCCCAGGATCCACTGAAGCAGTAACCCCCAAACTCTTCTCTCCAGGGTTCACCCACCTGTGGGGTCCTCCGGTCACTGACTTATAAATCATGATGAAGCCACTGTTTCTTCTTCACTGTTATTGTCTGAAAAACGTACCTGTCCTTGACCCTCTTCAGATATAGAAGACCTGTCTTCCCTACTGCTCTGCAGGATATGAAACATCCAGTGAAGGGAAGGTGTGGGCTGCTCTACATTTTCGTTAAGGCTAAGCTAAGAGGCAGGAGACAGAGCCCATCTCAAACTCATCAGGGAGGAAATGGGCTTTGGGGGGCATGTCATCTCTCTGTCAACAAGAGCTCCAGGGGACTGGTCACCTGTTAGAAACCAAAGGAAGAGAACAGTAAGAGCTGGACTAACTCTTCCTTTCCCAAAGCACAAGCCCTGAGTTACCTGAAACCCATGCCCCCAACACAGTACACAGAAAAGACTTCACTATTCTTAGAGAATCATTTATTTGGGAGAATCAATATTCTCCACGAGAAGGAATTACTTGGGGGCAGGAAGTTTTCCTCTCTGGAAATGCTGGAGAAGCATCTTCTGGTGACATAGCAGAGACAGGTCTCTGAACACCGTGCCTTGAGCAGTGGTGAGAGTGGCTGGAGGGCCCTGGCTGGCTTGGCTCCTGCAGGTGGGGCTTGGATGGGGCCCATGTTCCCTGCGGGGCACAGATGAGGGATACCACTGATCTGCTAGCTGGTTCCTAAAGGCCACAGCTTTCTGGGGGTGTCCGTCCTCATCTCGGATCCGTCTACTATTTGCAGGATCACTCTGGCCAGCAAAGACAGCTTCTTGGCGGCAGGGCTTTTTTGTGACTTTACAGGTGGGAGCCCTGTAATTGGAAGGATGTCCCTGGATGGGATCTGCCCGACCCAGCACTTCTGCCTTCTGCTGAGTTTTCCCAAACTTCCTTGGGGAAGGAAGGGGCTCTTGAGGGCAGGTGACATCTGTTGCATGCCAACGCCCCGGTTTCTCCTCTGGGAACTTCCCAGGAACCATCACGGTCTTCTGAGCTGTGGTCGTCCCAGTAAGGGCAGCTCTCTTTTTAACTGGGCCCCTGCTCTGCGCCGATGATACGGGGCTGCCCTTTTCCTGGGAATTTTCTTGGCTTTTGCCTTTTGTCCCGGGATGAAGCCATTGCAAAATGTGGTTCATCTTTTTCCTGAAGAGGCCTTCAGGAGGAGGCGGTCCCTTCTGTGATGGGGTCTGGGAAGACTTGTTCCCAACCGTCTCCTCTAATGCCTTGTTGTGAGTAAAGAAGATCTTCCTTCCAGGTTGGGATGTCCCCAACCCTGCATCCCCTCCACCAAGCTCTTCTGCCTTGGGGCCCAGAGGGCTCGCTGTCTTTGCAGCTGGTGGGAAATCCTTATCCTGGCCCCTCCTTAAGGCTTGCTTCGGGACCCAAGGCTCCTGCTGCTGCTCCATGCTGATTCCTTTGTCCTCCAAATGGGCACGCAGCACCTGGGAAGCTCCCATGTCCCCAGTGGAGACACCCTGGGCATGAGTCAGTGGCGCCTTGTAAGTCAAGCTCTCTGAGGCAGGGGACCTATCAGTGGGTTGGCCTTGGACCTGGCTCTGATTCCTCTTCTCTAGTTTAAACTTTAATTCACCAAACAGCTGTTCTTTAAGGCCTGATGATTTGGGATCTTGGGGAACTGGTCTTTTTGGTGAAGGCCTTTCAGTGCTCCCGGTAGTTTCTACTTTAGTCATCATTTGGGAGTTTCCTGGATTGCTGGTTGTCAAGATGCTGCCAGTTTTTGACTGAAGAGCATTGAGCTCCTTGGCCCTGAATATCTCCCTGGATGCAGCTGAAGGTTCAGACTTATCTGTCTTTTTGCCCTGTCTTGTTTCTACTCCATCCCTGGAACTCACACTCTTCCCCTTTGGCTCATGTCTGGCCTCAGCTTGCCTTGCAGGCAGCTTTGGGGGGTATCTGTTCCCTAGGGGAGAAAGTCTCAGACTGGCTTTGCCTGTGACGCCATGTGTGACAGGCAGAAGAGTCTGTCTGGCACCCTTAATTTGCTGAACATCCTCTGCAAGCTCTTGGTTCATACCAGAGGGTGATTGTCTAAAGGTCCCCTGTCCTTCCCTGCCCATAGGTGAGGTGGCAGGGTGAGAATGATCCAGGACAGGGGCTGAATTTGTTGTTCCCACTTTGTCTTGATGAACAGGTTTAGAGCTTCCTCTAAAGGGCTCAAGGCCCCCAGATTTGGAGTCCACCTCAGAAATCAGGTTGGCTGAGGAGGGAAGGTAGGAATGGGACAAGGACTCGGATGCTGCACCTTTCAAAGTAAAGATCTCTATGGATTCAAGGACCCTGCGGGGAAGGCCCCACAGCATCCTCATACGAAAGCTTCTAATATGGGCTTCCAGCGTCTGTCGTGCACTGAAATCAATGAAGGAAAGGTCCTGGAAGGTATTCAGGCAGTAGTCCCCACCCACTGATGGTGGCAAACTCCTCTGTGTTATTTGGGTGTGGGATTTCACAGGAATCTGCAATGATTGCTTGATAGCATGCCATGAACTAGGCACAGTCCCAGGGAGCTGACCCTCATTGATTTCCTCAAACTTCTTGCTCAGATGTACTTCTAGGACATTTTTAAATTGTTTCTGATCTAGACTTGCACTTGAGGCCCTTGAATTTTTCCCTGACAGACTCGCCATGTGACTAGTTAGGTCGTTCTCAGAGTCACAGCCCAGATCATTATCTGAAGAGCTCTCTGGGTCACTCAACAGATGAGCTTTTGGGCCGTTCTCTGAGCTATGTCCCTGATCCTTCCCCACATCCTTCTCTAGCTGAAGCATTTCTGAGCCCCTCTCACAGAAGCTTCCAGGATGGCTCAGTCCACCATTTAGATTTTTGTTCAGAGAGACACATGAGTGTCCATGATTGTGCTCTGACTCAGGAATCTCTGAAAAATCTCTTAGAGGCATCATCAGTGACAGAGACTCATGGATCCTGCGGGGCAGGCCCCAGCGGTGTTGGATGAGCCTCTTTCGAAGGTGGTGGTCTAGTTTCTCCCGAAGCTCATCACTGAGAGGAAACTCTCCAGGAAGGATAGAGATTGAAACATGGGCCTGGGAGGCCTGGAGGTAAGGAGAACTGGGAGCTGAAGGATGAAAGTCTTCCCTAGATCTTTGGACCACAGAGGGTAAACCCCGCAAACTTTCCTGTTGCTTCTGCAACACATTCCGCTCCAGTTGTTGAATTTCAGATGAGATGACAGACTCTGATTCATTCTGGGGTCTATGGAAACACACTCCACAGATCTGGGTCTCAGGTAGAGGACCAGATGGTAGGATGGGGAGTGGGGACTGAAGGTGGGCCTGGGGTTGGACCTGAGTGAGAGGTAGGGGCTGGGATTGGGGCAGGGTTTGAGGCAAGGCTTGAGGCTGCATCTCAGGCAAGGACAAAGGTAGAGGATGGGAAAGTACTGGGGATTCTTCAGCTGTGGAGGCGTTAAATATTGTAGTGAAAATGAAGATAGAGGAACAGTCACCTGAGACATGGTCAGCAGGGGCCAAGGACTCGCTGTGCATAGATGGGAGACCCCAGAAGAGCTGGACATGTTTTTGTTGTAAATGGTCCTCTGAGGTCTTAGGATATGGGGGCTGCTGGTACACAAGCAGCTCCTTTGGTTTCCCTTTGCTGTTCCATAAAGGCAGGGAGAATGCTGAGTCATGCTTATCAGCAATTGACTCTAACATTTTCTCTGAAGAATTTAATTGGTAGTCTGGCCTAAGTTCTTTTGGAAAAGAACCCCTCATCAGAAAATCAGTCCTCTTTTGGACTTGTCTCTCCAACAGTGCCAGGACATCAGGGCTGAGAAATGGGAGGTTACCAGGTTCCACAAGGTTGTTGGCAGGGTCTCCCCTCAAAAAGCCCTCTGAAGAGTGGAGGGCAAGAAACTCTTGGTTGAAATCACATTGTGCCAAAGTGGAAGGGAACAAGTCTTTGGCATGAGCTTGCCACGTGGAGAATTCTGAAACCGAGAGGCTTGAAGGGTCAGTGCCTTTGATTGGTGGGACACAAGTAGACAACCCACCAGGGCTATCTGGAGATGAGTTCTCCAGCACGGGCTTCAATAAGGTGGAAAGTGAATCAGATTGAGTCACAGTTAAAGCATTGTCTCGTGGTGGTGAAACAGACAGGGTTGGTGGTGTGTGATGACAAGTCAATGAATCAGTGGGATCCATTGTCTGGGACACATTTGGTAAGAGGTTGACATCTTGGGAAAGGGTTGAGTCGAGAGAGAAGATGGTATGCACAGACAAAGTGGCCTCTGGTTGGAGAACAGGATCCACTGTCTGAGTGCCATGTGGTGGCAGAGGGGGAAAGGCAAGGGGTTGGGGTGGGGAATGGTCCACTGGGAATTTGGAATTCAAGGAAGGAAAAGTCTCTGGTGGCATAGAGTGACCCATTGGTGAGGGTGAGTGAAACTCAGCTAAGGGTGTCATTGGGTTAGGTGAAAGAATGGAGGGGGTTGGTGGGGAAGGCTCAGGTGGAGGGGCTGGTGTTAGGCCTCCTGGAGGGACTTCTGAGAAGGCAGAGGACAGAGTGAATGAGGACTCAGTCACAGAAGCTGTGGAAGCCAAAGAGGACACAGAGAGAGTATCATCTTCCAGGTCCTCCAGGAACAGCAGCCGATTGACCTCCGCAGTTATGCTATTACACACCTCACAGGAGGGGTCTGGACATAAGAGTTGACGAAAGCGGGTGGTATCGTGAAGCTGGCCTGAGGGGCTGTGGGAGACAGGAAGTAGAAAACTGTAGCCAGGACCAGAAGAAAGGAGGACCTGCTGGCCTGGGGTGGGGGGAGGGGCCACCTGAAGCCTGCTGCTCCTTCACATTGTCCCACATCTATGACTTCACAATACACTCAACAGCCCTCACCCCAAGGCCTTCATTCACATACCCGTTCCTATGGCAACCCCCCGGCATGACTAGGGCAGGCTGCACTGAATCCCTGGAATTGCATAGAACGTGCTAAAGAGGGATCAAGAAAGAAGTGGAAAGACTGGTTACCTTTTCAGAATGGAAATCAGCTTCCTTATGTCCTCTGTTTCCTTCTTGTAATGTCTCCAACCTGGGAAACCAGGAGAGTGGGTTATGGAGGGAGTGGGTAGAAGCATAGATGTTAGACAGGAGTCCCTTTATGGGAGACCTTTGGGACATTAAACTCTGAAAGACCCAAGAATCAGCAGATGAGGTCAAATGGTCAATGATATTAACAAGGTTCATATGTGTATGTTGCTTCATTTGAAAAGTACTTTCACATACATTATCCCATGTGATGCTCGAAACAACCATGTGAGGAACATGTCAATGGTTACCTCAAAGACGGATCTGATCATCCAGGAAGTCAAAGTACTTTCACAAGGTCAGGAGACAGAAGCTCTGACTCTTGATATCTAACATAGCCACCTCTTGGGCAACAGCCATTGCCCAGGTCCATCACTGCTTCATGCCCAGAGGTGGGCAGAGCAGGAATCTGAGAAGCGTTTCAGGTTCTGACTGCCTTCCCATGAGCCTCTCCTCTGAGGGCTCTATTTTCTGACAGGGACTGTGGCTAGCACCTGACATCCTCAGAGGTCATGGACCTGGGACCTCATGGAAAGGACAGGAAGAGTCACCCTTGGAGAGCTCAGGTGGAATAAGCAGGACCTTACCTCCCGATGTTCCACCTTTCCTTCTCCTCTTGGCTGTGCCCTTACGCTGAGAACAAAAAGAAAAGAATCAGAAGCTGGGACTCATTTCTCTGCCTTCTCTCTCTAGGAAACTCAGATACGCATTATCCCATGAATAAAATGACTATTTTAATTAATAGAACTTTGTGTTCCTTTCTGTTATTAATTTTTTTAAATGACAAAGTATTTCAATTGTTCCTTCTTTGAAAAACTCAAAGAAAGATTTTGTCTATGAGGTCTACACTTGGTATTCTGAGTCAGAAGTCCTCTGCTCAAGGAGGGCATAGACTCTGAGGCCGACAGACACGTCTGTGCTCCCTCAGATAGACCCTGTGTCCTGGACAGAGCTCAGACTTCAGCCTCTGCCCAGAGGCTCAGCCCTGCTCTTCTGATCTGCCTGATACAAATGACGCCTGACATGCGAATGTGACTCACGATCCAGCGCTGGGAACTCTGTTCTCCTGCAGAGATCCCAAACTCTCTAAATAACCCAATCTGGGGCCATGAAATCACTGTTTGGGATTTTATCCCAGAATCCTCCACCACACCCAGATGGTCTGTGAGCTTCAAAGGGAAACATTCCCTGCTGAACCCCTAGCCCTGCCCGGCCTATGCTCCTAGAAGGATGCTACTCCATCCTCTACTCAGACTTCCCATCTTAGGTGTCTCTCTGAGCCAACCAAACTCATTTTAAAATATGGGGATAAAGATAGAAACAACAATAAAGAATCACTGTTGGGGGCTTGCCCAGCATTCCTTACCTTTTGGAAAGCTTTGGTTTTCCAGAAGGTTGGTAAAGATGGAATCCCCACCAGGTAGCACAGGAACAGAAGAAGCAACCACAACCCACACAGGAAGGTGAGGTTGGGGTCAGTATCTAAGAATGCTGAGCAAACGCGCAGACACAACTCAATAAGGCTATTCAGAAATGAGAGAACATTCCAGTGACTGAACTCCATTGTCTGAATCGCAAGCCTGCCTGAAGCAACTGAGCTCTGAGAGTGCCAGTGCTTGCCTATAGTCCCAGGCCTGCATCACAGAGCACAGAAGAGTCACAAAGGGTTTCTGAGGGTGGGGGAGGGGACATGAAGAGGGTGTGCCCACAGCCCCTCCCCCACCGACCAGACTGGCACATCTCTCCACTCCTCCTGGGCCCTCTAGGTCCCTCTGCCCTGCTGTTAGACACAAAATTAGGGTTCTTTTGCCCAATGCACCAAAATAGCCAATTAATTATGGCATCAGCCTTTGGGAAAAGAGATCAGCTTTATTCTGAAAGATCCATCTGCAGGGAGAACAGGCGGCATGTGCCCTCAGATCTGTCTCCTTGATTCAGAATTTGGGGAAATTTAAGAGGTTAGGGAGAACAGTGTGGCACCTTGAAACACTGGGGGCACGGGTTTTGATCGGTGGGCTTCAAGCATTTATGGTAAGGTTTTACACATTTATGATTGAGTTCTGAACGTTTATGATGAGGTTCTACACTTTTATGATAGGGTTGTAAACATTCATGATGAGATGGGGAAGGAATTTTAATACCAAATCTTCCTGAATGAGGGATCCCTTGCTTCTGAAAAGAGTCTGACTTCTAAGTTTCTGTGGTGTCCCAGTCCTTGGGTTCCATGGGAAGGGGGATCCGTGGTTCTGCAGTCATTTCGGGTCAAGACGTCTTCTGTGCATGTTCTGGCTACATGACTCTGAAGATTGTCTGAAGGATAATTCTTAGTCACTCTGTTGATAAGAGATGGAGTCAGTTGAACTAGTCCTGGAGGTCCTGGGGTGACACTGCCTGTAGTCCTATTTTCCAACTCCACTTTTTCATCAGATAATATATTTACTTAATGGAATTTTCTGCTTGTTCCATCTGTACCCCAGATATCACCTGGGTCCACCTTTACTCTTTGGAGAACTGGACTTGGGTCTCACCAATTCTAATGCCTTGCAAGTCTGAGATACTGCCCAGAAGTTTTGCTTGTACCCAGACATTTACACTCAGGATCGTAATCATCCCCAAATCTATCCTTTCTATAGAATGTTTTTTCCTTACATGAACCCAGATACACAACTTAAAGTTCTACACTTTAGTTTTGTGAATACTGAACAGCAAATTTTAGGGGTTTTTTTCAGTCAGCCTTTAGCATCTTCAGAGAGGATGACTCAAATAATTAAATGAATAATTCATTATTCAACGTTCACAAAACTAGATAAATAAAATATATTTATAAAATAAATGTGAATAATTATGCCTTCAAATGATCTTGGGGGTAAGTCTGTAGCACTTATTTTTCTGAAGTTAGTGAAGCTTAAGCTGCATAAAGACTTTCAGACACGCACACACACACACATCCTTTGACAAACCAAATGACAAGAGATTTTCACATTGAGGTATATGGGGTAACTATTCGTATTCAAAATTGATTTGACTTGAACTCAAGAAGCCTGACTTACGGCCTCTCAAACATGCACTGTACATATGCTTTAACCATTAAAGTGAAGAGTGCAAGCTCTTAAGAATGCACGCTTCCCTGCCTTATGCGCTATTGGTAACGCCCTGGTTAGGACTGCTAAAATAAGGTCCCTTTCCTGACTTCAGGATCATGTTGACCTGCTAGTTTGCAACTGAATACCTCTGAAACTTTGATGAAAATGTATCCTGGGTACGTTTAATGTATGTTCTTTGTTCTAAAAAGATATAAGTCTGTACTGAAAATCATGCTTCTGTGGAATGCTTTCTTCCTTTCTGGGAAAGGCCTTCCTGGGTTATAATCCTCACTCTGGCTCAAGTTAAACTTACCTTATTTCTCTTATTTATAAAATGGTTATTGGTTATTTTGCGTCAACATAATCCAGTATTTTCAAATCCAACAATAAAGTGTTTCTCCATTTATTTCAATCTTTCTTTTTTATTTTGACCCCCACTTTTTCTTACTCTTCCTAAAATACAGACCGTCCCCGCCCTCTACAGGTGTACACATCCCTTAGTCAGTGCAGGCTGCTGTAACAAAACACCACCTACTGGGAGGCTTAAACCCCAAACATTGATTTCTCACAGTTCTGGAGGCCTGGAAGTCCAAGATCAAGGCACCAGCAGATTCAGTGTCTGGCCAGGCTCACTTCCAGGTTCACAGACACTTGCCTTCTCCCTGCAACCTCACGTGGTGGAAAAAGAGGGTGAGGGAGCTCTGTGAGGTCTCTTGTATGAGGACACTAATCCTCTTCATGAGGCTCCACCCTCATCACCGAACCACCTCCCAAAGGCCCCATCTCCTAATGCCATCACATTGGGATTAGGTTCCAACATATGAACTGGGGGGACACAAACATTCAGTCCATATACTCCCCAAAGGCCGGGATACATTACATTGCGCTAAGCTGTTGATCCCCTCAGCCCTCGGGTGGCAGGTGGGACCCAGGAGTGTCAAAGCCCAGGGCAGAATCTCGTCTTGTGCAGCCTCATCTGAGTGCCCTTGTGGGCCCTGTAAATAAGATCTCTTCCTAAGAGCGCCTGCCACGAAAAAGGCTGAGAAGCTCTGCTCTGTATGATCACCCCACGAATGTTCAAAAATCAACCACCTGTCACGCTTTTTTCAGGCTCCTCTTGTCAGGTTTAAATAATCCCAGTACTTCCCTCCCCTCCTGTAATGCCCTTGCTCTGACACCCACAGCCCAGCACTGACACCTGATCTCTGTGAAAGGGTGAGACAGCCTTCACTCTGGCGCTAGTCTCCTTTCAATTACGCAGGAACAGGTACCCTTCCTGGAGGACAAAACCTGCCGGGAGGTGCCACTTTCTCCTCACCTTGATAGGCAGCCTGAGCCAAGTTTCATTTAATAAAAATTTACTGCTGGAAACCAGGAGACACAAGTACCTGTAAGTCATGTCTCTGTCCTTGAACCATGAGCTGCGGGTTTAGGGAAAAGCCCTGCACAGGTCAAGAGTGACACCACTGCACAGGAGAGGCCCCGGCACATCTGGGAACAGCCAAGCAATCTCAGGAAGAGATCAGAGAAGGGACAGACACTGTGGGTGACAACTGCTCAAACACACCGGGCTCCTCAGGAGGGCGTCCCTGCAGCTCTCCCCTCTCCAGTTTCTGATACAAATCAACAAAGATGGTCAAAGAGCAGCTTGCCTCCTTTACAAGGGCACGTGTTGGCTAGATAGCCTTAACACACACCGAGTGCCTTCAGTGAAAACCTACCAGAAGTTTCAATAAAAAGGCTTTTCCCCAAATGCTGGTACGATTCCTTTTCAGAACAAGGAACAAGATTCTAAAGGTACAACTTTTTTTGTTTGTTCTTTTTGTACCACCAGAAAGAAACCCCATCAATGTTTAATGGGAGAGGTCCATAGCACTTGCCCCTCTCACACTAACATCAACAGTAATAAGAAACTTACGTGTCTAATTTCTAAAGCACTTTACTTTCAGCGATCTCAGTGGATTTTCACAACCACCCTGGGATGCAAGCAGGACAGGTATTATTGTGCCCCTTTTATCAATGAGTAAAACTGAAGCTCAGAGAGGGTGAGTGACTTCCCTAGATCATTCAGCAAGTGAGTAGCAGAACCCTGACTACTGAATCCCCTACATCCTCAATGTGTCGATTTTCAACAATATTAGTAGGAGACTTCTTGAAACAAAAAGAATGCCAGAGTCCTAAAATTAAAGCAGTTGTGTGGCTAAGAATGTTCACTGTCTCCATGAAATGCTGGGAAATTTGGGGCCGTTCCAGCAGCATAGCGGTTGGGTTCACATGCTCTACTTTTGGCAGCCTGGGGTTCAGAGGTTTGGATCCCAGGCGCAGACCTACACACCACTCATCAAGCCACGCTGTGGCAGAGTCCCACATACAAAAAATAGATGAAGATCACCACAGATGTTAGCTCAGGGCCAGTCTTCTTCACCAAAAACAAATAAAGCTATTGTAGTTATTCTGTCCCCTCTTAGGTACATTTTCCTTTGCCCTCTCAGCAGCAATGTCTTTATAGCTTTTCTCTACTCCCCTCTTAGAACCTGCCTCCAAGAGCTGTATTACACCAGACTCTCAGTAAGGCATAAATGAATAATAACATTTGAAATGTCACCCCTCCAGGAATGCACCTCACACATTTTATATCTCTCTCACCTAAGCCCTGTAACAAAGCCCTCGCCAGACCATTTCAGGCAGCCATGCAGAGGTGGCAGAGATGGCTTTTGGCAGCGTGAGATCTTCTCCCGACAGCCCCATGACATCTTCCCAGTGGACCGACGTCACCACAGAAGTCTGGTCCCGGATTTCAGACGGCACTTGCTTCTGTCTCCCAGGATTGTGTTTTCCACAAGCTCTAGTAGAATAACGTGCTGCCATTGGAGGAGACTCAATAGGGCTAAGTCATTAGTTTGGGATTCTCAGACATTCTCAATTTTCTAGGGACAGTCCTCTCACATCCTGACCACTGTCCCGGGCATGAGCCACATGGGGGCAGCTGTTTTCAGGATTCCAAAAAGCATGAAGAAGAACAGATTCTGGGGCAAAATCCTTTAAAACTGCGTTTAAAACAATAGCTGTACCATGTCCTGCATCCATTCACAGAATAAGCTTTTACTGAACTCTACTATGTAGTATTTCTAGTAGAAATATCAACAAAATAAGGCAGTGCCTCTGCCCTCGGGCAGGTCATAGTTCAGCAAGTGAGACCTGTAACAACTATGATAAAGTGATAGAAACTGTAAAAGAAGTAGGAATAAGAACACAGTGAAAACACTGATAAAGGAGCAATTAATTCTCCTGGCCAGAGGGAGAGAGGAGAGGAGTCAAGGAAAACTTGAGAGTTGGTGCCAAGTGAAATAGGCCTTGAGGTCACTTGTCCCCTTCTCCTCTTCCCTTTCTTCCTCTTCCTTCCCCTCTTCCTTTCTCTAGACTTTATTTTTTAGAGCAGTTTAAGGTTCACAGCAAAATTGAGCAGAAAATACAGACTTCCTCTATGGCTCCACACACACACACACACACAC